TTAAAAATAAGTGTGTGCACCATAAGAGCAACTCAAAATAAAGGCAGGTGCATCACTCCTTCATGAAAGTGTGACTCAAACTGAGACAAGATCTAGATGGGAGAAAACAATCAACTGTCAGGCAGGTAAATAGTGGAATCTGAAGATGAAAAGATACAGTTTGGGGTCTGCTGAGGCTTTTGCACCTCTCAGTTTTGCTACCGCCTTCAGGTAGCTTTGATTTTGTGTGTGCTTACTGGGTGAATGTGTGCGAGTGTGTGTACCACATAGATTAAAGAAGTAAGGGGGTGAAGGAGACAGCTCTGACATTTAGAAACTTAAACAGGCACTGGCGCCCACCTGTTCATAGACAAAGACTGGGGAGTAACAAACACTGGTTCCTATTGTAAACCAAGATGTATCTGTAAAGCTACACAGGATGAGGTAGATGGTTTGGCTGCACACACAAAAAAAAAATCAATGATATTATGTATTGACAGATAAAATAGTTCATACATCTTCCAATGTGTTTTACTCACATGTATTATACCTATACATATTTTTATTTACTTGGACTTTGATAATAAAAAATGTGTTTTAATTTGCATACTGTAGGTAAAATATAGAGGCCATCAAATGTCATAGGCAGTAAATATGACTACTTGCCTCAATAATTTAAAATCTGCCATCAACTCAGTCGCAACTCACTGCCAGAGAAGCCACATAACTTAAGCTTGATTGGTTTATTTTCTATACACAGTTGTAGAACAGCATGCTTTGGCTTGCCAAATTAATTATATAATTCACACAAATCAGCTAATATATTCCTAATAGTCTAATAAAACTGTAATTTAGGGGTTATTTGTGGACAATTTTACCATGTAATCCCATTTTTGATAGCTCAGTTTATGATCAAATCTATATATGTTTTGCTTTGTTTTAATCTAGACATTATAAATGTTTTGATTGCATCTTGATCATTTTGTTTTATCCTCATTTTATTTAATTCAACCACTTGGAAAACAATATCTTAACATATAGCATATAGTTTGGCATATATATTAGATAATTAAATACTGCTTCTTTTTATACTTTATATTTTTTGCTATTTTGGGTGTAACTGAGTACACAATTTGTTCCACCTCATGCACCACATGTGATGTGAATGACAATTAAGATACTTGAACTTGAAGAAAAATGTCCAATATGTAGTTAAGTTTAAAATTACAAACTAAATTTTTAATGTAAAATAATTGATGACATTAAGAAAAGTGTCATTTTAGACATCATTCAGGACGTTCATTGTCTTTGAATTTACATCATATTATGTTTAAACACAACATATTTTTCCAACATGCTTTAATAGCAAGCAAGATGTAATTTGAAAAGTTGTGTTAAACAGTACAAGTCAGATTAACTGTTTTAAAATTCAAAGAAGACATGTAGAAGTAAAACCAGTTCTTTATTAGAGAGAAAGTCATGCCTTAAAATATACATTTCAATTTTCACAGCAGTCTGTCTTCATGTAAGGTCAATTGTGTAGGAAAAAAGAAAACAAAACAGGACTGACAATATTTTAACTTCCTTCACCACAATCAGTGTTAAGAGGCATCAGAAAAATAAAAATTTCTGAGCATCTTTTATGATAAATAAATTACAAATCCTAGGACATAAAACATACAAGGCCTTTTCAAATACCTGAGAGCCCTCACATAAAAAAGGTGATTTTGATATTGATCAGTCGACATTGACTTCTGAACTATGATAATATGTGTGCCAATAGTTTTATTACAAAAATATGATGCACCTAGAAACCTGCCTCATACAATTTGTAAACATTTATAAACTTCAAAATCACACAAAGTTCACAAAAGTATTTCTTTCAACATTTCAGCATAAAAATAGACATTTTACACATTCACCTTTAAAATTTACAAAAACAAGTCCCCGCAAAACGTAGCAAGAGCAATGATTTAAACTTTCAAGTAAAGTCCTCACTTACACTGGGGGTGGGGAAAACAAACGGTCTTTTTCTTCTGTTTGTTTGCTTGTTTTATTTTTGTTTGTATGACTGAGATAGATAGATGATAGATGATAGATGAATAGATAGATAGATAGATAGATAGATAGATAGATAGATAGATAGATAGATAGATAGATAGATAGATAGATAGATAGATAGATAGATAGATAGATAGATAGATAGATAGATAGATAGATAGATAGATAGATAGATA